TACTCCTCTTTGACTAGGGTGCCTCCATGGGCTCTAGATCTATGAGCAGGTTGGCTTCTTTTGAAACAGCGAAGATGTTCAAGATCGATGTGTTCAATGGAGTAAAGTTGTCACAATAAGGTAGTAGGACATAAGCCTTCTTAGGCTCAAAACATTGTTTATTTCCCTTCCTCTAATCATCATTTGCCCATTAACGATCATTCCTTCTACTTTCTCCCTGGAATTCATCCTTTCAACTGGAAGCGCTGGTCAAAGACCCAAGGTCATGACGATTTAGAGCTGCCACAGAGTTTTCAGTTTGCAAAAATTTTTCTATGAGATTATAGGAGCAAGTAAAGGAAATGTTGTCTTCCGATTGCAGCTTATTTCACAAGTCGGTTTGCAAAAGAACTCCAGCTATAATCAGAGTTCGAATTGAATCTTCAAGTGCGTTAGCCACCTTATTCAGTTCCCTATGGAACATGTCAATGTAAGACTTGAGAGACTTATTCTTCTCTTACCGTATATTGCTCAAATAGCTGAGCAGCATTGAGAACTTTTGATTTGCTTAGTAGTATCTCAAGAATAATGAGCTCATCTGTTGCCACGTGTTAATAGATCTAGGTGGAAGCGATCTAAACTAACTCTTTGCATGGGCAGTCAGGGTCACTACTAAGCAGCGACAATTTGGCAAGTTTGAGACTTGGTGTAGCTCCATGAGGTCATTAAACTCATAAAGGTGATCATGAGGATCAAGATTCTAGTCAAAATCCTTCATGTCTGGCATTTTGAATCTTGGCGGGAAAGGTGTTTCAAGACTTCTGGAGAAAAGGGAGATGCCTTAATGATTACTCCCTGCTCATTTTGTTGAGCTCGAAGCTAATTTAGAGCTCGCTACAAATCCTCAATTTAAGGAAGTGGAGCCATTGGGGGATCACTTTCCGCAATATGGGTATGTTCCCTATGATTGCGATTGATGAAAGACCGCAAGTTGGTGCTTTCTATGCTTTGGCCGGAGCCTTCAACATGCCTTGACGCTTGAGCGTTGGAGCCCTGTAAAAGTGCTAAATGGCTAGGGGAGATTTCCTTATCTCTGCAATGGTCAAAACCAATGCGCTAATGGTGGGTATTTCCCTCTCAGTGATGGTCGGAACCATCGTGCCGATAATGGTGGTAACCTCCCCACCTGGCACTTTCATGGGCGTGCCTGTGCAATGTGCCATGGGACTGCTCTTGACGTGGAGTATTGCCAAGCTGTTGAACAAGAGTTTTGTTTCTTTATTCGTGGGCAGTATTCGAAAGCCCTTTTGAGCTTTTCTACCCTTGATCGACTATATGTTTACCTTTTTGCATTGCAGTGTGCGTGGTATGAGGATGTGCTCGTTTTCACGCTTTTACGCGACTTGCAGACGTCTTTGGGGGTGGTACTACCTTGTCTGAATTAGGTGGTACTACTTTGTCCAAACGATCCAGCCATTGGTTCATCGTTTTGAGAGTGTTGTCAAACTTCTCCAGGTAACGAATTGAGGCAGGATCAGCTTGGGAGGTCGAGGGCATACTCCTCGCAATGTTTTGGGGAGTTGGAGCTCCTCCAGGAGGAGTGGTATCCTAGTTGCGGGGAATCTCCTTGTTGTTACCAGTGCTAGTATGCTCAGTTTCAAAGCCATGAGCCATGAGAATTTTTGGTTGATCTTCGAAAGAGAAATTGATGGGTTAGTTGAGTTTACTGGATAGAGAGCTGTTGTGAATCTCGGCCCTCCTTCTAGCGCTAAACTGTTTATGCTTGATTTTGACACCAAAGACTTTGCACATGTAAAGTGCTAAGAAATCACACGTGAGCTAATTAAATTTTGTGGTGAGGTACTATATGCACAATAGCATGCAAAGACGTAAATGTAAAGTTGACAAGAGAATTTTTATAATGATTTAGATGCTTAAAGCGAATCCTACATCCATTCCATTCGTTTATATTAATTTGTTACTAGTCATTAGACAGGCTTACAAGAGGTCACGAATTGTGATCTGGTACTACAAGTGTTTGGTGTTCTAAGTGTTCTTATAGAATGTCAAGCCAGACTCTTTCTATTATTGTGTCTTTGCTAATTTCTTTGTTGAATTCGTGAGTGTCTGATCCCGAAATTATGGGGGGAGGAGCTGCCCATTTATATCCGTTTTGCTCAAGGTAATGATTACACTTTTGCAAGTGGCCTAATGTCGTGAAGATCTCTCCTACCTTCCCATTCGTTGAGAACTCAAAGAATGTCCTTAAATTAAATGGGGCTTAGGTAGGTGTGCAAACCAAATTCATTTAGAGACAAATTCTTAAGTCGATTGGATTATTGACAGCTATACTCTTTTTGCCTTTGTAGACATGGCATGTTCTGGACAATATAATACTTTCTTGAATTCTGATTGGTGCTTGATGACACCACTATAAGGTAGCCCTTATTTTAGGCATAACAATTTGTTTATTAATTTTACTGCATTTGGGATCAAAATGTAATTTATTCACTTATTTATTATTTTAAGTAAATCAATAAGAAAAAATCGGTATCTTAATTCTCAAATGAAAATTCAGATATACGGATACCATTGTTAGAAGTTGGGAGTTTTGCTATGCAAAAACTGTAGTTGGAAGTTAGAAAAGAGTTACTTTAGTTATATTTATCTTGTGCTTTCCAAGAGCCACAATGTTCTTCATCTTTCAAAATTTTTTGAAGAAATTTATTCTTCATTCAGTCTCATTGTCGATCAAGGTAATATCTACTCATGGCTGAAGCTTTTATCACAGCTGAGAACTGTTTTGTTCCTAGGACAAAGAAGGAAGACGAAGAAATTGAAACAATCTACAATAAATATAAAGACATGATCGAGGGATGGTGACAATGTCTTTCGATATCGAGGTTTTTGGTTCATTTTCAAGCATACTCCCGAAATAATGTGGGTGTAGCAACATTTCAAGGTTCGACCCTCTGATGTTTACTTGGCTTCATATCAAAATTTGGTACTACTTGGCTTAAAGCTCTAGTTTTCTTTGTAATCTACGGGACTAAATATGAGTTTTCAGCTTATCACTTGCTTACAAATAACGTCCATGATTGTGTTCCCTTTATGGAACTTGACCATTTCAGGAACCCTTCTATTGTTGACCCTAAAGTCCTTCCCTCTCCTCATCTTCTTATTACTCATATACCTTTCACTTTGTTGCCAGATACCATAAAAAAAATATATAAAAAAAAAAAAACTCTTCCTGTCTGATTGTCTACATATGTAGAAACCTGAAAGATGTATTTGTTTCCTTTTGGCAACTCCGAAGAACTTGAATTCCAGAGATCTATCATTTGCTTCATTCGAAGATTCATTTGACATGTTCTGTGAAGGGATTTCCCCATTCGAACCTGTTGATGCTCGATTTTAGACACAAACTACTCGCACGTGTAAAATGCTAAGCGGACTTAGAAGTCATACATGATATGGAAATACTTAGTTAAATAAGTGGCGAGAGGCAATGTTTAAAGTGGTTCGGATGCTCAAAAGCGAATCCTACGTCCACTGCTATTGTATTAACAAGAGGATCAAGGTCAGGTCGTGTTCAGCGAGCTGAGCTACTGTTTAGAGAGCAAGTAAGCTATTTAGAGCAAAATTAACCAATCCCGTAAATGAGAGGGTATTTATAGTGGGAGAAACCAAGGTAATGATTACTAAATCTGCAAGTGGGTGAGTACTGTGCAAATCCTTTTCTGCGTCCCATTGTTCACATGCCCGAGGGATTTTCTTGACTTATGCAGGGTTTGGACACGTGGATGATTTCCAACCACCTGCTAGCCTGGCACTCACTCACTGCACTGACGGGGGCGTGCCACTTGCGCCATTACACGACGTGGCTGCGTCTAGACGGTCACAGATCCTTCCCAAGTTCTTACCATCCCATTCTGACAAGGCTCCACGTTAGCCCTACCTTTTCAGGCATAACAGGACCCTTTTGGGATCATGTTTTAGAATATTGGAAAGCAAGTTTAGAGTTCCCCAACAAGGTCCTTTTCTTGAAATGTGAAGAAATGAAAAAGGAGCCCTTACTCGATCTAAAGAGATTGGCAGAGTTCTTGGGGCAGCCATTTTCCTTGGAAGAAGAAGAAAATAGGATTGTGCATGAAATTGTTAGACTTTGTAGCTTTGAGAACATGAAAATTTTGGAGGTGAACAAGACTGGTCTCTATCGTGTTCAAGGTTCTAAGAACAATATCTTCTTCAGGGAAGGTAAGGTTGGAGATTGCGAGAACCATTTAACAACTGAAATGATGGAGAGTCTAGACCAAATCACAGAGCAAAAGTTCCATGCTTCTGGCTAGATGTTTTAGTTTGATCCGAGATCGACCAGTTTGCCATTGTGCTTGTTTAAATTGGAGTTTGTATCCTAAGATTTACTAGTTTGTCATTGTACTCGCATAAATTGGAGTTCGATTTTTTTTGTTTCTTAAATTATGTTTCTTTCATCAAATGCAACATTGTATGAACAATATAATATTGTTTATTCCTATAAAAAAAGGAGGGATTAAGAGGATGTCGAGAAACTAAGTTCTTTTTTCACACACTAGTAAATATGATCAAAACTCAATGAAGAAACCTCTCTGCTTGTGGCCGGATGGTAAAGTTTTTAGCATTTATACCCAGGAGATTCGTGTACGAGTGGCAGTAAGGTACTTACCAAAAAAAAAAACATGATCAAAACCTCTTAACAAAACAGATCAAATGCTTCTTCTACTTGGGTGTTTGATAATTCCTTCCCAAAGAAACAAGAACATTTTTTTGGTCTTACAATTGTACAAATTCGACAATTACAAGATTTTATTGTTTAATGCAAGCAAAACAAGAATGATTAATTTTTTACATTACTGGTATGAAAGTGTTATTGAAACATCAACATTCACAACAATTATAGTTATCTGAAAGCAATTCCTTTCGCAACAACATAGCTTTGAAGCATGGGGAACCTAAAACAACTGAAAACTCAAGCAAATCACTTAATTTTTTTCCTCAGAATTCCATATTCCAATTTCTGAATACCCATCTTCAGTAGCACAAGCTCGAAACATACATGTGGTATTGAGAGGCATGGTGATTTCCCCTGTGGAAGACACAGCAACCAACCCAACAGTGCCTCTTGGAACGCACTCCTCTACAATATGAGTTGCTGCTTCCTTCAGAAAGAGACCTATAAATTCCATAAGAGCAGCAACATCCCTCGCAGCAGTAGCTCGTATTATTGCTTCACCCTTGCCAGTAGCAGAAATTGCACAGACGTTGTTTGCGTATGTTTCTGCACCAATGATGGGTGTATCCCCAATCCTACCCACCATTTTGTTAACAAATCCACCCGTAGAAGTTCCAGAAGCCAATTAAATTTCCTTCATTATCAACAGCTACACATCCAACAGTTCCAATTTGGCTATCACCATCCGCAAGTGGAGTTTCATTTTGGCATCCTTCGGAACTGGCTGTGTATAATCTAACTGTAGAATCATAACTATATTACAAGCATGTAAATAGAAAAACCAATCAAAGTGATTCAAATATAAAAATCAGTTTTCAGGCACACGGACATTAAAGTCAAGCCAATGAACAACCAAAAATAATGTAGGAAGTACTGAGTATACATGCATGCATCTTTTAGATATTGTCAAAACCAGGAAAACAACAATGTGGAGATCTTCCTTCCAACAAATATCGAACTGTATACAACAACATTATATTGCATAACTTCTTGAGAAAAGCTGCTTACAGCTGTTTTACTTTTAATAATAATAAGACAAGTTCAGAGCAGTGTCACCACAATATGAAAATAATCAACGAAAACCTAGGGGAACCAACACGAGCAAGTTTGCATGTATACAGAACTTCACATTTAAAATGAGAGCGAAAAAAGACAGGCCCTCAGCTATACAGTTATGAGCTTAACATAAACAACGTAGAGGAGGCAGAGTAAGATTGTAACTAACTTGCTTCCTAGCAAAATCCTCTGCTCCATCAAATGCAAGATAAATATGAGGAGTCTTCTGCATGACAAGTCGTGCCACAGATATAGGATTAACAACAGTGGTAAGTCCATAAACAGCTCCACATCTCTTTGCATTATTTGTATTATGCAATTATTTTCCCACAATCATACATTTCCTTAATCAATTTAACTATATACATAGCATCTTATAGATTTGTAAACCTCAGATAGTGAAGATGAACTTTTATTTGAATGCAATTGATGGGTTTGAATGAATTTTTATTTGATTTGGGCTATAAGTTTGTATTTTGGGCCAAGAAACCCACTACACGGATATTGAAGATGAACCTTGTGGTTTGATGTTAGCTGTTCTCAACTTCGATTATAAAATTTGAATTAGGTGGTAGATGATGGTGAGTTTACAATAATTTATTTATACTTTAGGGTTGATATTAATTAATAATAGAATGTAAAGAAAATATTTGCAATTGATCTGAATCGTTCAACCACATCCTACAAGTTACAATCATCTCCTACGGAAATGGAAGTAATACGAACTCTAAATTAATTTAACCATCAAAGAACAGAACAGAACATATCACTAATCTTGGGTATAAAACTAAAACATTAACCCGGAACCATGGAACTTTTGCTTTGCAATTTCATCAAGACGTTCTGCCATTTCATTTGTTAGATGATTCTCCCAATCTCCAACCTTTCCTTCTCTAAAGAATACATCGTTTTTAGTGTTGCGAACACGGTAGAATCCATTCTTATTCACCTCCAAGTTTTTCATTTTCTCAAAACTACATAGTTTCAAAATTTCTTGCACAGTCCCATTTTCTTCTTCTTCTAAAGAAAATGGCCGACCAACAAACTCCGCCACTCTCTTTATATTCAGTAAAGGCTCCTCTTTCATATCTTCATATTTCAAGAAAAGGATCTTGCTTGGAAACTCTAAACTTGCTTTCCAATATCCTAAAACATGATCCCAATAGGATCCACACGGAGAAATCCCTTCACAAAACATTTCAAATGCATCTTCTAGCGACAGTGGAGGCAGATCCTTGGGTTTCACCTTCATCACGAATTGACATAAAGAAACGAGCACATCTTTAGGATTTCTACAAATGTAAACAATCGGACAAGATGATTTTTGTATGGAATCTGGTAACAAAGTGAAAGGTATATGAGTTGCAAAAATACGTGGTGATGGAAGAACTTCAGGATCAGCAATCGGAGTGGTCTTGAAAAGGTCAAAATCCATGAAGGGAACACACTCATGGACACTAGTGGTAAGCAAGGGGTGAGTTGAAAAATCAAATCGAGTTCGATTCATTATAGAGAAAAGGAGAGCTTTAAGCCAAGTAGTACCTGATTTTGGAGAGGAGATAAGGTAAACGTCAGTGGGTCGAGAGATGAAGTGTTGTTGCATCCACATGATTCCTTCAAGACCAACCATGGGTTGAAACCAAAAACCTTGATATTGACAGAGATGCTGAGTCGCCCAACCTCTGTTTCTTGGAAGGGTTGCGATTATGTTTCTGTAACTGTTGTAGATTCTTTCGATATCTTCTTCTTCCTCCTTTGATTTAGGAACAAAGCATTTCGCAGCTGTGATCAGAGCTTCAGCCATGAGAATGTGCTGTACTGGCCTGTCAGTAGCTACAGAGTTCTGAATGAAGAACTTTAGGAAAACCTGATACGAGAAAGATTAACCGTGCTAATTTATATCAGCAATAATCACAAAATCTATAAAAAAACATTCATAACTAAGATGTGTAGATTACCACGTTAGAGTTATAAAAAAAAATTATATAATTGAGTTGTAAGAATATTAATTGAATTGATTAAATAATGGTGGAGTACCAAATTTGTTTAAAGAAAAGTCCTAAGTTCAATGAATATAAAAAAGTCACGAATTTAGAGCTAGGCATTTAGGACCGGGCCCAAAAGCCCAGCTCTAAAATCCGGTCCTTGAGAGGACTGGACCTAGGAGGCCTGGTCCCGTTTTGGGACCAGGCCTAAAGAGGAGGGTGCGGGCCCTCCTCCAAGGCCCAGGCCTGGGCCCAAAAAATTTTGTATTTTTTCAATGTAGTCCCTTGCCAAATCACATAAAATCCCCTGTTAATTTTAAAATAAATATAAATTACGAGGATTAAAATGAAATTTTACAAAATTTATTAAAAAAAAAAATCTTTCAGGTCTAAAAAATTTATAAATTTTACCCCTAAAAAATACTAAAAACCCCCTATAAAATTTTGTTTTCCCCCTAAAATATAAAAAAATTGAGGGGGGAAAAAAATTATCCAAGGCCCATGGGACAAGTCCCGACCAAGCCTAGGGCTTGGTCCGGGTCTTGGTTTTTCTCATGGGCCTGGGACCGGTCCCAGGCCCATGAGTGACTGGGACTGGGCCCAGGCCTGGGCCTGAGCCCGCAAGGGACCAGTCCCTTGCCCACCTCTAGTCACGATTATATATTGAGTTAATTACATGGAACTATACTTGGTAAAACAGGCGGGTCGGGTGGGTATGGACCCAAAAGGACTGATTTTAAATGGGTCCAATATTTTAGGGCCGTATCTAGTCTATGCGAGTATGGGTATATCCAGTTCAGTCCAATCTTCAATTTTTACAATTACACCCCCATAATTTCTATAATTTTCATTTTTTACAGTTACACCCCTACAATCAAATCTTCTAAATTCAATTCAATTCAACACACAAGTTCACAACCAAGAACGTGTAGAAACTTATAGCAAAGAAATCGGAAGGATAAACTTCAAAGCAATCAGATCTGATTCAAAAACTTGTTCAAAGAAAGCAGAGGACTTTTGTGTGTTACAGAGAAAACTCGTTCAAAGAAAGCAACATTTTCCCTTCAAGTGTTGTCGAATGGAAGAGACAAAAGAGTTGGATTCAAAAATTTGTTCAGAGAAAGCACTGTTACGAGGAAATTTAGCTGATAGGCCTTCCCAAGTTTCGAATTGAGAATATAACCTTGAAAAGGTTTTTGATTTTTTTTTTTTTTTTTTTTTTAAATCTGACCTGGCACAATTAAGCATAATTAAAGCAGTAAAAAAGGTTAGGGTGAAAAGATTTAAATGTTTGTGGGTTAAAGTATAATAAAAAGAAGTTGGTTTATAATTTGAAAGATAAAACACAATCCTCCGCCATTAACACCTTCTTCTTCCTCCGTCATTAACACCTTCTTCTTCCTCCGTCATTAACATCTTCTCTGCAAAGATCTGCCTCTTCCTACTCCTGACATTTCGTACAGGGATGTGTATCTCCTCTTTGCATTTTATATTTTTATTTACAAAGATTTAATGATGGATTGGGTTTGGGTTATGATTTTGATTATGTGGTTTAGGTTCTTGGGTAGTGTTTGATGTAATGCAAGTTGAAAGGAGTGAGATTTGTTGATGATTTTCTTACATTGTGCGTAGCTGGGGGTGGTAGCACCGATTATAGGTGAAGATGACTGAAAATGTATTCTGGAGCTAATGGATCGCTTAAGCGATCTGGTATAAGTCTGGGATATAGCAGCAAATAGCTTAAGCAATCTGGTATATCGCTTAAGCGATCGGGTATATGGCAGCAGATCGCTTAAGTGACCAGGCTTATTTATACCAGATCATTTAAGCGATATACTGGATCGCTTAAGCGATCTAGTAAGCGATACACCAAATCGCTTAAGCGACTCATCAAATGTTTTTTAAAATCTATCTAACCCTTAATATATCGGTTAATAACTTCTTTTTTTTTTTTATGATCGCTTAAGCGACCAAGGTTAAAAGCAAACGATTGCTTAAGCGATAGAATAAATCGCTTAAGCGATCGTGCGTCTGGGCACTTATTGATTCTGTCTTGTTTGTGATCGCTTAAGCGACCAAGTGTAAAAGCGTAGAATCGCTTAAGCGATAACATAAATACAACTAGATCTCTTAAGCGACTAAGTCTAAATACGCAGGATCGCTTAAGCGAGAAATACGCAGGATCGCTTAAGCGAGAAATACGCAAGATCGCTTAAGCGGGAAATGAAATCTCTTAAGCGATCCAATGTATTCGGATTATTTTTATTGTATTTCACTAGATCGATTAAGCGATTAACGTTATCTTAAACATATAAGGTGTATGATTCGTTCAGTGGACCATGACCATTATTATATTTTAATTAAATTAATTCTTTTACGGCTATATTAAACATATACGGTGTAGAATGTTTACTTCTATATTAAACATATCAGGTGTATGATTCATTCAGTGGACCATGACCGTTATTATATTTTAATTAAATTAGTTCTTTTATGGCTATATTAAACATATATGGTATAGAATGTTTACGTCTATATTAAACATATCAGGTGTACGATTCGTTCAATAGACCATGACCGTTATTATATTTTAATTAAATTGGTCCTTTTATGATTATATTAAACATATATGGTGTAGAATGTTTACATCTATATTAAACATATCAGGTGTACGATTCGTTTAGTGGATCATGACCGTTATTATATTTTAATTAAATTAGTTCTTTTACGTCTATATTAAACATATGTCCATAAACATAGAAAAGAAATATTGAAGAAAATTACTCTTAATCGCTTAAGCGATCCCGTCTATTTAGCCTTGGTCTACAGAGTGCATAGCAGATGGTTGCAGAGTTCAATTTTATATCAATATTATATTTTTTATATATTACTATATCAATATTATATTTTTTATATATTACTTTCTTGCCAAGAACTAACAACAATAATAGAATAATAATAGATCTTTCAGTTTTATGTACGGTGTTGATCGACAAAGACCGAAATGTTCTTTTCACATTCTATTGAAATGAAAAAGATAATTAATAATTAATAAAAAATGACTAAATATTAAATAAACATTACGGAATATAATTTCTCACTCAAACGTTCACAATATCAAAAGATTCGCTAAGCGATCGCTAATAAGTTATTAACCGATATATTAAGGGTTACATAGATTTTAAAAAACATTTGCAGAGTCGCTTAAGTGATCTAGTGTATCGCTTACTGTATCGCTTAAGCGATCTGGTATAAATAAGTCTGATCGCTTAAGCGATCTACTGCCATATGCCAGACTTATACCAGATCGCTTAAGCGATATACTAGATTGCTTAAACGATCCATTAGCTCCAGAATACATTTTCAGTCATCTTCACCTATAATCAGTGCTACCACCCCTAGCTACGCACAATGCAAGAAAATCATCAACAAATCTCACTCCTTTCAACTTGCATTACATCAAACACAACCCAAGAACCTAAACCACTAAATCAAATCATAACCCAAACCCAATCCATCCTTAAATCTTTGTAAATAGAAATATAAAATGCAAAGAGGAGATATACATCCCTGGACGAAATGTTAAGAATAAAAAGAGGCAAATCTTTGGCGGAGAAGATGTTAATGGCGGAGGAAGAAGAAGGTGTTAATGTTGGAGGAAGAAGAAGATGTACAGGAAGAAGAAGATATAGACGAAGAAGAAGAAGAAGATGTAGACGAAGCTTAGAAGAAACAACAACCAGGGGAAGGATGCGTTAATGGCGGGAGGAAGAAGAAGAAGGTGTTTGGGTTTGTTTGCAAGATTTTCGACTCTTTGGAGACTTATTATAATTTTTAAAAGATTACACAATTATTCATTAATCCTAATTAACCCACTAATCATGTTTAATTAAGCTTAATAAAAAACAAGGTCATTTAGTTAAAATTTACAAACTCTATAACCTTTTAATTAAATTTAAGCTAAAATGATGTTTTAATAAAATGCCCCGTTACCCGATTGTTACTGAGAAAACTCATTCAAAGAAAACAATTTTTTTCCCTTTCGAGTGTTGTTGAATGGAAGAGACAAGAGAGTTAGATTTAGGAATTAGGGATTTACGATTTACGTTAATTTTTTAATTTTACACGGGTACCTGCAGGTGTACCCGACCGACTAGCAAAAATTGGGTTGGGCCGAGTACAAATAAAAAAAAAAGGGGGTCAAAAGTGGTGGACTCGTACCATATATTATTTTTATGGGTATGGGTCCACCTACAGGTATGGACCTGTTTGCCAAGTATAAATGGAACTTGCCTCTTTCAATATTTTTATAAGAGTATAGAAAAAATTATTAGGTTAACACAAATACCCTAGTTTTTTAAGTTTTCGTTAACGCTTTGTTAGGATTATTTTCCTTACATCCCCTCCAATATATTTAGGATTATTTTCCTTGCATCCCCGCCAAATTCCCCGGTAATTAGCCACTCACACCTATTATCGTCAATTTTTTGTGTCAAAGTTAATTAAGGGAAGGGTGAAATAGACCTTTTATTGTTAAAAAAAAAGCAGAATTATAAATTACATAAATTTTTAGAAAAAAAAATAAATATAAAATATATTTAAGATTTAATAGTACTTTTAAAAATATTACCTTTTTTTTTTATCACAAGATTTGTCCACCATTAGAGATCGCCAAAACCACCATTCTTAGAGTGCTAAAACTGGCAACTTCTTTTTTTTCTTATTTTTTTATTATTAAATTTTTCAATTTACAAACAAGTTTTTTTTTTCAGATTTTATATTTTTACTTTATAAAATTATTTTAATTTGTCATCACATATTTATTAATTTAGAAAAATAATATTTAAAAATTTTTTATCAATTTTTTAAAAAAAATTTAGTTCACAAATATAATGTTAAATAAATTCATGTGTTTTTAATAGATTTTTTTTATT